GGCTGAATCACAATCCACTGCTTTGCGTTCACTACAAATGTGCAAACGATGACCTTTGAGCTTTTGCTGATGTTCTTGCTATGTTTGTTGGTTGATCCCTAATTATTTTATCCAGTTTAGATTTCTAGTTATCCGTGCAATAGCTTTCTCTAGTCCTTAATCTGACCCGCGTCATTTTCCCTCCCTAATTGGGATGCTTTTCCCTTGAGTATAATTTTTTCTTATTAATAATCCTCAGTCTATCCTCTGGACATAGCTTTTGCTGAGATGATCCACTTTCTATATCAACATATTATTTATTGGGTCAATTACTTATCTACTCTTTGTTCAGTCAATTAACAATTAGACCTCATTCAATCCAAAGCCAATAGGATGATTAGGCTGGATACAGGAGCAGATAAAATGAATGGCAATAGAAATTAAAAGGAAAAGGATAAAAAAATTGAATTACACGATCACTGTAGAGGCTTGAAGCTAATGTCCTTCGAGTCTTGATGGGCTTGTAAAGGGATGATGAAAAAGAAGTGGAGCATATGGTACTTGGTTATCCCAGCCTATTACTTTTGCGGTCATTAATTTTCCAGTAGAAATTAATATAAATCTTATTTTGGTACTGGTCAAGTCCTGGTATTCAGGGCTATGCAGCTGAGGTGTGTGTCAAATAAATCGCTGTAGCAGGTATGCTGATGTTTCGAACCATGACCTAAAATGTTGAAGATGCCACTGAATAGGCTGCACTCTCGCCTATAGAATATATGAAGACCAAGCTGCTGTGGCCTCTGTTATTGTCGCAGTCTCCCTTCGATTTATAAAACTTTCGATTCCCATCTTTCTTTTTTAAACTGTTGTAAACGTTATGGTATCACTCTTAAATTCTGTGACCTTAAGAGATCATACCACTAAGATAAGGATAATGAGTATCTCCACCAGGCTTCTATTCAGAAACTAAGTGAGACATATGATACAGAACGGAATAAGTTGTTTAAGTTTATAGATATTAAGTCAAAGCTCCGGCGTGATTTGGCCAGGATCCTGTCTCCGGAAGATTTTCAAAAACTCCAGAGTATGACCAACAGGAAATCACGTAGGATTTCTGAATTAATAATAAAATGGCATGACGATAAGGTGCGTAAGTTTGGGATTATTAGACAGCCTAAGTTAATGTCAGTACGCCCAGTTGAAGAGGTTTCCAAAGTGACAACATTTACTGATCAGCACGGTGATAGGAAGAAAGTATTAAACTAATCATCAATCCCGAAACAACCGCGTTCCTGGAAAAAGACTCAATTTTTTCAATTCAACACAACAGGAGCCTTCTAGGAGACAGCCTGGTGGAGGTTATCAATATCACCGACAAGTTCCCTGAGGAGACAAAACGGGAAATGGGGATAGAACTAATTCCAAAGATCTTGACCCATCAGGAGCCTACACACAGGAACAGATTTGTCGGGATACGCAAAACCCTGGGAACCAATGGACAATTAGTTCTTCAGACCGAGAAAGGAGGAGCTACAGTGATAATTAACAAAAAACAATATACCGAGAAGATTGAACATATTCTACGAGACAGGACCACATATCGTATGCTAAACAAGGACCCAACTATGAAGATCAATGGAAGCTTAAGTGCCATGATGAAAGATATGTCTATGAATGGGGAGATTGGTGCATGAACAAGATATTCAATCATAAGAAAGTATGAACGACCACCAAAAGCATACGGATTACTGAAGATATACAAGGAAGGCGCGCCACTAAGGTTAATAGTCAACAACAAGTATGGAGCAACACACAAATTGGCAAAGTTTATATGTTTGAAACTCAAGAAATTAAATGAGAGCCTATCAAACACGGTGAAATATTCATATGAGTTTTCTCAAAAAATCAAGAACATTGCACGGGAAGAAACTGACTTATTGGTAAGTTTCGATGTGCAATGAATGTATACAAATATCTCAGGAGAGGATGCACTAACGGTCCTAATGGAAATCCTGGACCGAGAGGAGGATATCATGGAATCACAACGGATCAGGAGGGAGTCGTTAACAAGACTAATCAACTTGACAATAAGGACCACCTATTTTACATTCAACGGGACCATCTCTGAACAAATATTTGGACTTCCCATGGGATCGCCGCTTACCACTTTTGGCAAACGTATACAAAATATAAGAGATCTTTAAGATGGAAGAGTTTGTGAAGTATATAAACCAGATTGATGGAAAAATTCAATTCAGAATGGAAGAAGAGGAAGGTGAGCGGTTACCGTTCCTGGACATTGAAGTGATTGGTTCTAATGGGACGCTGAAAAAGAAATTGTTCAGAAAGAAGTCCTATGCTGGAATAATAATCAATCTCCGGTCCCATCACAATTGCAGGCTGAAGATTGGAATAATGAGGAGCATGATCATCCGAAGCCTACGCCTGACGGATGCAGATTTCTGGGACGAGGAGCTGGACAAATTGACGAGGATATTTCTCGGTAATGGCTACCCAAACGAAGTGATACAAAGAATCATACGGGCCATGAAAAGCCGATGGCAGAACTTCCTGCGAACTAACTCAAAAACTACGACTAGTATTGAGTAAATGGAATATTCAGGTGGTCATGAAGGAGAAATCAACACTTCACAAGTCTACCCACGCAACATGAAAGAGTAAACAATTTGGACTGTTCAGGAGTTTACTGTATATCATGCGGCGGCTGCGGACATAAATATATTGGCGAACCACGAATTCACAGATTGGTTCGGAGAATGGCAAAGCTCATTGATGATGCCGACTACGATGCCGGTGAAACGTTTGAGAATGTATCAAGTCCACTGTCAGATGCTGGAAATTATGACAACTTCGGACTAGGTGCGTTCTACATAATCGCCATGACAACAAGACCAAGTTGCAACTACGAGGTCAACCCACTTTTGTACATTCGCTTGTTCTGTTACTCAATGAGTGTTATCAGAATGGGGTATAAGTCTTGCAACTGATTTAAGCTAAATAGCCAAGTGAGCCCTCCTACTAATCCTTACAAACTGGCTGCTTTAAGCCTGATTTTATTATGTGTTTCTCGCAAAGTAACTTTGGTTAAAGCAGGCGATTCGAATGACGGACGCATTACTTTGACATTGACTCTTCATGGAAAACTACAAACAGTTACTTTAAGCGACAGAGAATTAGATGAGGTACATTATATCGAAAAACTTTGAAATGTCTATCCACCAATTATCCTTTTACCACAACTCGTGCCCTTAGACACATTGTACTTATATATATTCATATACATGGCTTTTTACATTTAGCTGAATTAATAAAATTTTATACACAATATCAAAATACCCGCCCAAGATTTGTGTATTCACTACTGTTGGGGTCATTTATTCAGCTTTACATTTGCACGACCCTTAAATCAGCATTTATCAGATTCAACTTAGATACCCTTATTATTTCTGTCAAACTAGTCAGTAAAGGAGTCTGTAAGACTTAAACGATATGTCCTGTTTTATTCGCATAAGCAGATAAAGGATTGATAGTTGAAATTTTTGATAATGAAATGAGTAGGCCTCGTGTTGTCATAAAATTTCGCTTGGCCCTGCCTGGTTCTCTTCAGCGTCCCTAACGGAATTGTAACCAGTCAGTGCAGCGTATATTTTCAACGTGTTGCCATCCCAATATACAATGACAAATGCCCAGGTGCTCAAGTTAAATTGGGCCTCATTCAAATCACGTTTATAATGGGATAGTTTATGAACCAAATTTGTGTTTACCATTGCAATGGACAACGTTACACATTTTCCATATAAGCAGTTTTCGACACTATCAATTATTCCCATTATAAATGTGATTTTGATGAGGCCGAATTTGTCTTGCATTTCAAATCTACCCCGTGGTCTTACTGGTACCCGTAGCGGTGAACTTGAGTGTAGAGTCGACACGACACTCATGACCCAGTGTGGAATCCCGTTTGGAGTAAAATTAGTTCGAAACTGATGTCCAGTCTAGTCTGATTAAGACAACCTTTGAGGAGGCACGGTTAAGTAAAATTCCACAATATTCTGAAGCCTAATTATCTCATTGTGGTCCTTCACTTCATTATTCAGCCTAGGACAATTACAGTTCATATTGGTTTTCTCGAAATTTCACTAAGTGGAGGTATTTTGGTCACAACCTTTTGGCAAACTGAGCCTGAAACTGCCTGTGGAGTCATTTCAATTTTTTAATTGCAATAAGTGATATAAAGTAAGCTAACAAGCATAGTATTTAGGCGAAATTGCTCATCAAATATTTTGCCAATTGTTTGGATTTGAAGTTGTCGCCAAATCAAGAACCACGGGTAGTAAAGCATTCGTGACAGAATTTTTATCTTTACTGATATATCCCTCCTTTACGGAGCAATGAGTAGTTCACCTCTGAATTTTGTTTTGAGAGTTAGATTTACAGGCTTGTGATCAGCGTAACAAGCAAAATCCTTGCTAAGCTAAGAAGTGTTTGAAATATAAAATAGCCAAGGGGGTGAAAATCTGCATTTTTCTTGGATGGTCCAAGTTCCAAGTTTGGAAGTTCCTTCTCAATATTACGTGAATTTCATCGAAATCACCTCATTAAAGAAGTATGCTAATATAAAAAAACTACTTGAATTGAAAATAAATAACATTTTCGATTTTAATTGCAAGCATGTTATATTATTTTCGATATAACGAGACTTCGAGACTATCAGAGATTCTTGATTAAGAACATGGTCGATTAAGGTTATTTAAGGAATGGTGGCTTGGCAAGCTATTTATATCGAAAATAAGTAACGTCATTAATTGCAATAACTAGCACCTTTCTGCTTACTAGAGAACCCTACTATATGGGTGAATTATGAGGTGCCGGGCTTACCTTGGATGTTACATCTGTCCTGTGACCAATTTTCCTGCTTGCCTGCAGAGTGGATTGGCAATTCCGCCACGTTACTAATGAGTAAGCACGAAATCCCGTTAGGGGCAGTGATGAGCCGGTGAAGAGAGGTTAGAACTAAAATACAGACTTGAGCTGACGTTTCCATTGAATTTCACATAGCCTTGCTTTCCCAAAAGTTGTTCTCATCCCGACTGAGG